ATCTGTGAACCAAGTTTCCGCAAAAAAAAAATGACGTGTGGCCGGCTGAGTTTATGTTGAGCTGATAGTCTAGCAAAGAGCTCTTGGCGTTTTTCATTGTTGAGTGAACATGGGTTGTTTGCCTAGTAACATAGATGGCTAGATGAAACTGTAGAAGTGTCGGATTGCATCGGTTTTATTTTTGCTTTAGTTATTGGTCTAGGGCGTCTAGTTGGCAGTGGAGGTTTCTGAGTTAGGAATGGCTGTGCGGCTAGCGTAGTCTGACAGAGCTCTGGCTTGGGATGAAAAAACGTAGCACTTATTGGACGTTGATTCGATGATATCGATGCAACAGATGCGACCTGTTCTTCGATGTATAACATTCCGAAACGGATTATCGAAAATATTAGCAGTGGCAAGTTGGTTGCTCGAGATTTCCGCTCGAGATGAAAGACTTAATAATGAGACCTGGATAATGTTAGAGTTTGACAATTTTGTTATAAACAAATAACATATATTTAAAAATTTTGGATTTTGTGCCTTGACAAAAGTAGTTTTGTTTTGATGTTTTAGTAGGTTAATTTTATTTTTGCTCGATTTGAGGCGGTTAACACGTGCGATACCAGAAGCATCCTCCTATCCTGTTGCTACAAAAAAAATCCTCAACAAGCTTCTTATCGTCTACAGTACTAGAATTATTAAGACCGATTACAATGACATTTAACCCACGATTTCGAATATTTTTATTTTGAGCAGCGATAAAAGTGCTTAACTGCTGCCGTTGATGTTTGCTCTCATCTAATTTGTCCATAAGCAAAGATGCAAATGATGATGTGGCTGTTGGTTTTATTTCTTTCAACTCATTAATTTGTTCTACCAGTAAATCAATTTTGTCTTTCAGGGCTTTTTCTCTTAATTCCCTAGATCGTTTCTCTTCCGCTAGTGCAACAAGTAAAGCTGCCTTGATCATAAAAGCAATATCGTTCTGGTAACTTTTCATGAGAGTAGCATTTAAATCCTTTAGATCTACTGCCGCTTTAAAAGCGTTGGTAGCTATTTCTTCGATTGCCGAGATACTTTGCAATTAATAATTGCAAGTTTTTAAATTTTTAATATTTGTTACATTTTATTATTAGTTTTAAAAATTTAAAATTTAAAAGTTTAAAATTTCAATAAGATTGATATTCTATATGATTGTATGAAAATTTACCTTAATATATACTTTAATAGAATAAATTTCTATATGATTGTATGAAAATTTACCTTAATATATACTTTAAAAGAATAAATTTCTATATGATTGTATGAAAATTTACCTTAATATATACTTTAATAGAATAAATTTATACGTATATAACTTACTAATAATTATAATTTGATTACAAATATTAGTAAATATATAGTGATAAATTTTCCCTTAATATATTTATTAATTGATAATAAATTTTGGATTTTGTCAAGGCACAAAATCCAAAATTTTTATATATATGTTATTTGTTTATATATATTGTTTATAAAATGTAAAAAGTACACTTATTAAACGTTTTTTCAGGATCGTATGGAACATAAGTAAACTTTTCTAATAATTACTTGTAATAAGTAAACTTTTCTAATAATTACTTTTATTAAGTAAACTTTTCTAATAATTACTTTTATTAAGTAAACTTTTCTAATAATTACTTTTATTAAGTAAACTTTTCTAATAATTACTTTTATTAAGTAAACTTTTCTAATAATTACTTTTAATAAGTAAATTTTTCTAATAATTACTTTTAATAAGCAAACTTTTCTAATAATTACTTGTAATAAGTAAACTTTTCTAATAATTACTTTTATTAAGTAAACTTTTCTAATAATTACTTTTATTAAGTAAACTTTTCTAATAATTACTTTTATTAAGTAAACTTTTCTAATAATTACTTTTATTAAGTAAACTTTCCTAATAATTACTTTTATTAAGTAAACTTTTCTAATAATTACTTTTATTAAGTAAACTTTTCTAATAATTACTTTTATTAAGTAAACTTTTCTAATAATTACTTTTATTAAGTAAACTTTTCTAATAATTACTTTTATTAAGTAAACTTTTCTAATAATCGCTTATAATTAATACTTAACTTAACGCTGCCGCTGCTGCTGCTCACCATTCGTGCACCTTTACACGGACTTTTTTACCATACTTGGCCTTTGAGTTTTATTATAAATTGCTTTACTTCTGAACTCGCGTAATGAGGCTCTTTCAAATCTTAATAATCTGTCAGTATCTGCTTAATCAGTAATGAGATCAAAAACTTTGTTTCATCAGCTTAATTAGTGATAAGATCAACAATTTTTATTTGATAACTTCTGTAGTAAAGGATGAACATTATGTTGTTATTGAGTTAGTAAAGTAACTTTTAAAGTCAGGTGATTTATTTAAATCATGCATTTTAGTCTTTTGTCAATTGTATTTAAATTTATTAATTTATAAAATTAGTCTGTAATTTTTAAATTAAAAGACGACTCAAGAAGACGTTGCTCATTTCAAAGGTCAAGAGGTCAAACTCTTGATAAAGTTAGTGTTTAAAACACTTGCATCTCACACGGTCAACTCAATGTTACATGTTAAAAAAGAAGATCGTTTAATACCTTATTTAAAAGAAGTTATAAAAATCCGTATAAAAAACCAGATTGTTTGATAGTTTGTTTTTGAAAGTTGTTAAACATTTATTACGAGGTATTTCAAAAAACAAAAATAAGGTTGTATTTGTAAAGTTTCAAATTTATATATTTTTCTTAATTTATATATTTATCTATATATGTGTGTTATTTATATTGTGTTTTATTGTGTATATATGTGTTAAGGTTATATGGGTTTATATTTTGTAAGTGTGTAAATATATGAAATGTTTCAATGTTTGTGGTGTGTTATATGTAACATGTTTATAGTTTGTAAGTGATAATTATGTTGTTTGCATGGTTTCAAATTGTTGTGACTGGGCTTAGTTTACAGCAAGATTGTTGACCTTGCTAGCCAAGTGGTGTACTTTGCTATAATGTGACCTGGCTTTGTTGAGAGCAAAAATATTGTCCTCGCCAGCAGAGTGGTGTATTGTCATAATAAAACACATAAATTAATTCTGTTTGTAATTAGTGTATTTCTAAAATGTGTTGAAAAAATATTGTTGAAAAAATGTGTTTTAATGTTGTTATCCTCTGTTCTTAACAATGTATGCTTTTGACAATAAATAAATTTTGTTAAAAAGCAGGCTTTACTAACAGCTCCTCCTCATTAAAATTTTTAAGAGTTTCGATTTTCTTCATTAAATATGTTTAACTCAAATTTTTTTTATATATATAAAAGTAAGTATACAGCGTGTTGAAGCATAAGTTTTAATAACTTTTGTTAAATTTTTAGGATTTTTTGTATAGAGAATGTTTTCTTTATATTATTATTTTAATGTTTTGTATGTACATCAATATATATATATATATATATATATATATATATATATATATATATATATATATATATATATATATATATTATATATATATATATATATATATATATATATATATATATATATATATATATATATATATATATATATATATATATATATATATATGTATATATATATATATATATATATATATATATATATATATATATATATATATATATATATATATATATATATATATATATATATATATATATATATATATATATAGACACACACACAATAAAATATATAGAATTAAAATGTCTATACATATATTATATGTATAGACATTTTAATTTTTTGCCTTAAATTATTGTCCCTTTTTCTTTAGAATATTAAATATCTAAAAAAAATTAAAATAGTAAAAGAAGTTTCAATACTTCCAAGTTTCTTTACTTGAAGCAAATATATGATTGTTTATAGAGGTTCTTCTAGTAGTTTTGTATTTATTTATTGCAAATCTTGCGTTAAATGCCTTTCAAAGTAATGAAAGGGTTTTGTTGATGGATGATTACATTTTATCCTTCCATGCTAGCAGTACTTGCTGAGTTGACAGGCCTTAAATTTTTTTAATTTGCTTTATTTATGAGTTCTTATATGTAAAAAATTTGTTTTTTAAATTACATTTGTTTTTTGTTTTTTTTTTTGATTAAATACTTATAATATTTTGTCAATAATTAATAACAACTACCATAAATATATAAACAATACTTAGTTGAAAATATTATATTAATTTATAACTTTAGTTTAAGTTTTTAATAAAACTATGTTATCTTAACACAATGCTATATATGGTAGAATATAATAGATTATAGTATTATGCACTGTATTATTTGCTTACACTTTATTTTAGATAAGTTTAAAAAAGAAACTTCAACTTTTATTATATTAGGCATCATTTTTACACACTCCTTTGATGCCTAATTATGTCTAATAATTTAAGAAATGAAATTATTAGACTTCGTCAAAATGAAAGAAGGCAGGCTAGGCGAGCTGAGATAAACCGCCGTCGAAATGAAAGAGATGAGCCCAGGCGAGCTGAGATAAATCGTCGTCGAATTGAAAGAGATGAGCCCAGGCGAGCTGAGATAAATCGTCGTCGAATTGTACTACAAAATCTTCTGCTTCTTCTGCTACAAGTAAGTTGTTCTATTCACTTATACTTGACTTAATTTATGGATTAATTGGTTTTATTGCATTTTTAACTTTCTTCCCTGTGTTAAAGCCGATGTCGGATCGAGCTCGGCTGCCGATATCGGACCGACGGCGTTTTTGTCCATACGGACCGAGGTCGGCCCGACATCGGCTAGCCGCTCAAACTATTGCAATGCATCGGCTGGCCGATGTTAAGCCGACGCGATTCCAAACAAATCATCGGCTGGCCGATCTCAGCCCGATGCGATTCTGTATGGACAAAAACAAAGGGGTTCAAAAACTCTGCTAGCCGATGCAAATTCAAATCGGAACACTTATTCAAATCGGAAAAAAGGGAAAATAGTATTAAGCAACTAAAGTATATGTAAAACACATATATAAAACAAAATTATATATTTCTTTTAAATAAATTATTCTGAATCAGTTGAATCATCAAATAAATTGAATCGGGTGAAATTCCAAAGTTTTTTTTTTAACCGATAATTCACTGTGTGCAGCATCTAAAAAAAAAAACTATAAATTAAATTTTCACATATCAATAATAGCAATATAACATTAATCACAACGTAGATTCCAAATTCCACTTTTAATTTCAGAGAACGAAATAACTAATTTATATTTATAATATGAAAAGTATTATATTTCTAATTCAATAAAAAGTTACTTGGGCAATTTGAATCAGGATGTGCACTGCCAAAATCATTTGTATCTTAATCATTGTTTACTTCTTTGCATTCAACAGCCCCTATAAAAATTAACATGTTATATAAAACACGCTGGAGCTTGGGCCATATTATATATATATATATATATATATATATATATATATATATATATATATATATATATATATATATATATATATATATATATATATATATATATATATATATATATATATATATATATATATATATATATATATATATATATATATATATATATATATATAATATACATTTATATTTAGAATCAAGATATGCATTATCAAAATCTACAGCCTCTGAAAATTATATATCAATAAAAATATGAATACAATATAGATAATATTAGTATAGCAACAGTATAACACCTCTATTATAAGAATTTTTCTTCTGAGAGCACTGTGTTAAAAATAGATTCGTGCAAAAAAAAATTGTTACCATAACAGGTTATACTTTATCAATAAATAGAAAATTAACAGGAAATATTTTGATATATGATACTTATTCTGCTTAAAACTAACATCGCTAGTAAATAAAACTACTTCTACCTTACCTTGTGTTGGAATAAACATTTTATAAATTTAACATAATCATACAACAAACTATTGACAAGGAGACATACCTGAAAGAGTTCTTCTGTTAATAGTTAAACGCACTGCTTCATTGCTTGGCAATGAATCCAAAAATAGTAACACTAGAGAAATGAAAAAATAAAATAATATAATAAAAAAGGGATATATAAAAATATTTAAAAAAATATACATGTATAATTAAGGTTGCATTCCAAGTAAATCAAATATTAACTAAGAAAAACTAAACTACTAATGGACCTGAAAAAACCTTCATAGATTGTTGAAAGAATCAATTCGATAATTCATAAGTTGATTTTGATTTCTTCGACATCTATATCTATAACTAAAAAATTATACATATAATTGAATTTATAATAAAAACAAATTTTATCTCTTACGTAATTATGTAAAAAAATCTCTTACATAATTATACTTAAAAAAAATATTTTTTTCTATTTATAACAATATAAAATAACTAATAATATCCAATTCATATAATTAAAAGATAACTTAATTTCTAGCTCTTCGTCAGGAAACACTATCATTTACTATACAAAGAAAAAATATACATATGTATAGCAAATTGTATAGCAATTGATCTTCACTTATAACAAAACTTTCAGATTTCATTAAAATCTAATAAATAAATTAAATATAAACAAAATGAACATAGATAATTGAAACATAAAATAATTGAATAAGCTATTATATATTGATAGCCATTATAATTTAAAAGTGCAAACATGGTATAGGGTTTTGTTGATATATGGTTCATAGATCATCCAGATCATATTTTAAAATATCTGTTAAAAAATTATCTGGATATTTAAAAAAATTGATTGGTTAAAAAATCAATACCAGAAAATTGTTTGGGTAAAATATCTATATAATCTCAACCTTACACAATTCCGTATGGACAAAAACGATAACGGTTTGATGTCGGCAGCTGATCTAGGCCCTACAATAAGTTTGTGCATCTTTATACACAAACTTAAATTAGAATAATCTCAACCACTGAAATCAGTTTGTTGTAAGTTAATATGTAAGTATATAACCATGGTTATATGTAAATATATACCATGAAATTACTATGAAAAATAGGATAGAGCAACAAAAAAACAAATAAAACACAAATATAAGATAAAATTATATATTTTATTTAAATAAATTAATCTGAATCAGTTGATTCATCAAATAAATTGGATTGGTTGAGCTTCCGACGTTTTTTGTGTACTGACAATTCACCGTGAGCAGCATCTAAAAAAGGTATAAAATTAAATTTGAACATATCAATAATAGCAATATGATATAAATCACAACATAGATTTCAACTTAGAAACGTGACTTCCAATTTTGATTTTGGAGAACAAAGCAATTATTTTATATTTCTAATATATAAATTATTATATTTATAATTAAATAAAAAGTTACTTTGGCACTTTGGACCAGGATGTTCATTGTCAAAATCTTTATTATTTTTTGCAATAATCAAGTCATTGCATTCAACAGCTTCTATAGAAATTAAAAATATATATATATAAATATATATGTATATATATATATATATATATATATATATATATATATATATACATATACATATATATATATATATATATATATATATATATATATATATATATATATATATATATATATATATATATATATATATATATATATATATATATATATATATATATATATATATATATATATATATTTTACCATACCATACCAATTATTCATACCAAGGATTCATACATAGAAATACATAAATACATTAATATATACAGCATTTTAAAAAATAGTCATGATTTCAAATAACCAATAGAAACAACATTTCATAAAATACTTATACCTTTAGGAACTTTAGAATTTCGCCTTGCAGCCCTTCCACCATTCTTGTCCTTTGCATTATGCAAAAATCGTTTGATGCGCAACTCTACAACATTGCGAGTTTCATTTGGAAATTTTGTCAAAACGCAGTCCTTTATGAATTTCTCTAACTTCACTGGAAGTTTTAATTTACCATTTTTCCCACTTCGATTAAGTTGTTTTGCGAAATCAATTGATAAAAGGAGATTTATAAACGCTCACAAAGATCATTGGAATCACGGCCACCTTCTTGAAGCATCCACTGAAATATTTCATCAGATAAAACAATATCTGCATTTGCTAGATCATCGGGAGTACAAAACAAAGGAACTTTTCTTTGTTCGCTTTTCAATAATGGTATTGCTTTCACTGTTGAATGCGTCAAGCTGTCCAGCCGTTGTGAAATAAGAGCTAATTTTTGCAAAATGACAGCTTGACCATATCGCACAGCTTGGACTGTGTCAGAATCGATGCCTGCATCATTGCAAAGAACATTGAGCTCATGGAGCACAGCATGAGTACTATTTGCTCGTTTTGTTTTTGGACCATCTGACGCTGACACTTTGCAGGCCAAAGGTTTAAAAGACTTAGAAATAATAGAAGATGAGACTTGTAATTGGTTTTTATTAACATGTTGGATAGAAGATGTTGGTGTAAATATATGCATTGGGACTAAAGGTGGAGAACAAAGTGGAGGTATTGGTTCACTAACTTTAACAGCTAGTGGTTTAACAAACAGTGGTGTAAAGGCATCAGAATCGGTTCCACTGGTGAGGTTGTCTAAAGGCTGTAAAGGTGCGCGTTTATTAGGTCGAACTCTATAAAAATTATAAAAGAACCAACTTTATTAAATATTCTCAAGAAACACAAAAACTAAAAATTTAAATTTTATAAATACCTGAACTTGATGTACCTCATTAACCTCAATGCACCAAAATTTTTAACTTTAACTGCATGTCTCAAACTGTTTATAGTTTGCTGACAACTGTCATCATTAGGAACTACTTGCAGAAGACATGCATCAAATGGTTGGTCTTTCCACACAGCTTGAATACGTACAACATGATCAACTGACAATGAATTCCAATCATCAATTGAGTAACCTTCATAGTCCATGAGCATGACATCTTCTTCATTTAATATATCCACATGTGTGTCATCAAAATATACTATGTATTTCATTCTATCTATATCTATATATATATCTATATATATATATATATATATATATATATATATATATATATATATATATATATATATATATATATATATATATATATATATATATATATATATATATATATATATATATATATAATGATGACTAATATTAAAAGTAATAAAAAACATAAGCAAATGATCAGCAATAGTTAAGATTTTTTCTTTGGACTCTGAATCCTTGTTGTCACTTGAGTCACTATGCAAACACTGTACAAAATCTTCTGACTCTGAGAGCATGCAATCTTCTTCATTTAAATACAAATCACTATCTGAATAATTTAAATTATTTTCATTGCTTTCAAAACAAACGTCAGATATAGAGAAATCAACTGGGTATAGGTTAGCTCTGTCAACTTGTGGCTTAAGAGTTTTGCCTAAATAAAATAATTTTAAACTTTCAATTAAATATAAATTCATAATTTAAATGTTATATTTGATATCACAACAGAAATTAAAAAATATTTAAAGAGCTATTACCGTTTACTTCAATACTGCGATTTTGGTCTAAATGAAACAATAAATTACATTATAGCTTTATAGCATTTAGTAAACTATTAGCATTACGGAATGATTATTTAAATCAGAAGAATACTACAAAAATTATATACTTTCACAATAGAAAACAACATTAACGTAAATTATAAAAATGATTAAACATAATTATATATGTATATCTCTCTCTCTCATATATATATATATATATATATATATATATATATATATATATATATATATATATATATATATATATATATATATATATATATATATATATATATATATATGAAAGAGAGAGAGAGAGAGGGAGAGAGAGGGAGAGAGAGAGAGAGAGGAGAGAGAGAGATTTTATAATAACATTACATATAATAACAATTATTATTACATTTTATCTGCAAAGTTTGCACAATTATTATTTTTTTTAAATAAAAATAGTTTCATTTTATATTATTGTTATTGATATTATATCATCAAACTTATATGATATAAAACTTTGTTACAATGATTAACACTTTAATCATTAAAATAAATGTTCTATATCATTTTGCCTAAGTTTTATTTTTATATAAACAATTGCAATCAAATTTTTAAATACTAGTTTATATTATTAATATAAATTTACCACGTATTGAAGGAAAAAAAGTTGATAATTCATAACTTGCTCTTCTCCTATCAGAACGATTTGATGCCATCATTAAAATATTGAATTGGTTTATATAACTAGTAACTAAAATATAGTTATATTTTAGTTGCACATTAATTATTGCTTATAGTATATTATATATAACAATAATATTGTGATCATAAAAAAAAATTATTACTGTAAATATAAAATATACAATATAAATAAACAAGGCAAAAATTTGAAGTGAAATAATAAACAAATAGTTAAGCTTATTTTGCTTAAAACTTATGTTACCAGTATATAAAAAACTTTCTTCCTTACCTTGTATTGAATTGAACTTTTATATCTTTAACATTTCTATCTGAATGATGTTCACAATTTATGTTCAATCTTTAAAATTTAATGAGGTAATTTAAAATCGTTAAAGACTCATAATTGTTTACTTATTTAACAAGTTTTGAGTTAATGAACTAATTAATATCATTTAATGTTTAACTTAAAAATGAACAATTTTTTAATTAAACATAAATCACAAACTGTATGCTCACAGTTTAAGTATTTTTTAACTGTTATCAAAACAAATTACTGTTTACCTAGTATATTGATATTATTATCTAATATTTTTATATCTTAAACTTTAATGATTTATAAATTTATATAACTATTCAAATAAAATTCAAATAACTATTTGTAAATAAAAAGTAATGTTATTATTTATAAATACCAATTAATATTATTAAATAATATTAATTTACCAGGTAAACGAATTAACTTTCCTATGCATTAAAAAATTTTGCCTTCAGTTAGATAGATTTGCTGCCATTTTTAAAATTCAACATATTCGGTTTTTTATCATTCAAATAAAAAACAGAACCAAATTGGCTGAACATCGGCTGAACGTCGGCTGAATGTCTGTTTGACCATTCATCGGCCAACAGACACAAAACCGACGTTTCACCGATATTGTTTTGCTAAAAACAGAGTAGCCAATGTTCAACCGATGTAACAAGCTCGGCCCGAGCTCGGCCCACCGTCGGACTTAACACAGGGTTTTATTTATCTCTAGCTGCTGCTTCTTCTGTTACAAGTAAGTTGTTCTATTCACTTATACTTACCTTAATTTATTGATTAATTGGTTTTATTGCATTTTTAACTTTCTTTTATTTATCTCTAGCTGCTTCTTCTGTTATAAGTAAGTTACTTTTACTTAACTTATTACATTGATTGATTGTTTTTATTGCATTTTTAATTTTCTTTTATTTATCTCTAGCTGCTGCTTCTTCTGCTACAAGTAAGTTGTTCTATTCACTTATACTTGACTTAATTTATGGATTAATTGGTTTTATTGCATTTTTAACTTTCTTTTATTTATCTCTAGCTGCTGCTTCTTCTGCTACAAGTAAGTTGTTCTATTTACTTATACTTACCTTAATTTATTGATTAATTGGTTTTATTACATTTTTAACTTTCTTTTATTTATCTCTAGCTGCTGCTTCTTCTGTTACAAGTAAGTTGTTCTATTCACTTATACTTGACTTAATTTATGGATTAATTGGTTTTATTGCATTTTTAACTTTCTTTTATTTATCTCTAGCTGCTGCTTCTTCTGTTACAAGTAAGTTGTTCTATTCACTTATACTTGACTTAATTTATGGATTAATTGGTTTTATTGCATTTTTAACTTTCTTTTATATATCTCTAGCTGCTGCTTCTTCTGCTACAAGTAAGCTGTTCTATTTACTTATACTTACCTTAATTTATTGATTAATTGGTTTTATTGTACCTTTTGTTTTTTAATATAGCTACAAATGTGCTCTCCAGTTTAATTAGTTAATGTAATAAGTCAAGTATTAGTGAGTAAAATAAATAAGTTGTTGTGCTCACTTGTACTTAATTTATTACATTATTTGCTTTTATTGTTTTTTTACAGTAGATTTTTTGTAAGTATTACCTAGGCAGATAGTTGTATTTATATATAATTTTTTTTTCAGGCTCGAAGTCATGGGAAGATTTCCGAAAGTATCGCTCCCAGCATCCAGGCCCTCTATCTATGAGGGCCTTCCATCGCTGGTGTTTGTATGGGGACGACCATCCCTCCTTTAGATGGAGGGATGGCACCCCATAAAACATGGGGAATAGAGCGGATGCTGGGAGGAGAAGACAACGTGGCTCAAAAGTTGTCAATAATTTTTTTACATTTTAAAATGTAAAGAAATTGACAACTTTTGAGCCACTTCATTTTTTTTTTGTAATTTTTTTTTTGTAATATATTTTTGTAAATTTATTTTTGTGTTGTTTTTTAATTTTTCCCATGAATGTTAAATGTTATCAAAGTAAATCATTTAAATAAAGACACCTTTATCAACAATGCTCATTAACTAGAAATAAAAGTCACGGTCATACATTTGATAAAGTTAATGTTAATCTCAAAGGGATTTGGTTTTCACACAATCAAATTCTATGTAGCACCTTCCAGAACTAAGAATATAAGTGTGTGGTGTTAGTAGTTTAAAATATGTATAATAAACTCAGAATAACTCAATAACCCTCAACAAAACTATGAACTAATTTTGAAATTCAAGTTGAGCTTTTTTATTTATTAATACCTCCCCTCCCAATAACTCTAATTTTCCTTAAAAAACTAATTTTTTTGTCCTTTGAAGGTGGTTCTGCTATTTAATTAATTGTTGTGATGTTTTATGCAAATAGATTTAGCTCACATTCATGTTGGTCTGTCAGGGTTATGTAAAAATAAAAAAGTAAGTTTCTTATTCGCATTTTTGAGTTTTCAAAAGTATTGATTGCATGACATGTTAATTTGTAATTAATGTGTATGATTATGCGTTTAAATAACTTTGTTCCATTTTTAGTTCCGTTTCTTATAGCTGACTTGATTATGGCTTACCTAAAGCTTAATATTTATGAAACAATGATTCAATTTAAATTGTATTATAAGTAGCTCTGTTGAATTTGTACTAAAGGTTATATTTTTATTTTATATCAAGAAAAATATGTTTTTAAGTAAATATCTATAATTTTTTATTTTGGGATTTAATGTTTTAAATGGATATAAAAATCATTTTTGCTTTGTCTTTTATATTTCCTTTTATTATATATGAATAGGAACCATTTATGCTTTAATCACCATTAGCACTCGAAGTTTCCATTTGCATTAAGTATCGATTTTTGGCACACACGACAGGTTTAATAACTTAGGCAGTAAAAACAGCTTGAATGATTTGATAAGAGTCTTTAAAGAAACGCTTTTACGAAAAGCATTAAATAGATAAAGCTAACTTATTTAAAATAATAAGTCTTTAACCCGTTTTTCTATATCCAAATTTACTTTTTAAATAAATGTTGATGAAAGGGTAAAATATCCTTATAGCCTACGTTAATTTTAAATTCTTTTTAAATTAAAAGAAAGAGTTTTGATACTTATTTAAATAGGGTTAATAAAATATTTTAAATTATATTATATATATTATATTTAAGAAATTATTAAACTAAATTAAATAAGATTTTTAGATGAAACAGTAAAAATATTTGTTTAAAATACGTGCGTGCAAATAATTCCTACAAATACTAAACGTAAAATAACGCTTACAAACACCAAAAGTATGTTTGCAGTGAATAAGGTTAAGTTCAAAGATAAATAGGAAGAAATGTTTAAAACTGTTTCAATAATAACATTTATTTTTAATTACTTTTGTTGTAAGTTGGGATGAAAAAAAAAGGTCACTGGAGTATGAACTCCCGGGGTGAGATGACTATATCTGTCTAAGTGTTGCGCGTCTACCAATTAGCCCATAAACGTATTTTCTATTTAGAATTTAAGATTATTTATGACGCATAAGAAGTGTAATTA